TTTTATCATTGATTTTAGTTGATTTTATCACGGATTATAGTTGATTTTATCATTGATTTTAGTTGATTTTATCACGGATTATAGTTGATTTTATCATTGATTTTAGTTAATTTTTATCACAGATTATAGTTGATTTTATCATTGATTTTAGTTGATTTTATCATTATTTTAGTTGATTTTATCACTGACTAGTTGATTTTATCATTGATTTTATCACTGAATTTAGTTGATTTTATCATTAATTTTATCAGTTTTTAGTTGTTTTTATCAGATTTTAGTTGATTGTATCATTGATTTTATCACTGACTTTAGTTGATTTTATAATTGATTTTAGTTGATTTTTTATCAGATTTTAGTTGATTAAATCACATATTTTAGTTTTTATTATTGATTTTAGTTGCACTCTGTAGCACTTTGAGATTTTTGTTAATGAAAAGTGCGTTACAAATTAAATTCATTATTATTATTAAAGTTTGTTGTACATTTACTCAAATATAAGCAGAGAAATATGAAAATGTTCAATATGCTTAAAAATCTAAATAAATTGCCGATTAAATTGCACCAACAAGTGTACTTTGGTTTCTAAGCACAGTATACACAGTACAAAAATGTAGACTGCACCACCGCCCCGACTCCGCCCACTATTTGCGTTCCGCATCGATCGGTTTACAAATTATAATGTATAATAATTTGAATTAGTGGCAACACGTTCATGTTCATTTTGTGAATAGGTAAAATTTTAAAGTGGTTTTTGATGCTGTTAATTTGCTCAAAACTAATTTTCCAAAGTTGAAATTAAATTTTTGTTAATTAAGTGCACACAACAAACATGAGGGTTATGAGGGGGTCCCTGAAACTTTTTCTCCCCTGTAAGGGGTCATTGAACCCAAGAAGTTTGAGAACCCCCGATGAGTGCGGTCCTGCCAACCAGGGTTTAAATCCCACCTCAGTCAGGTCAAACCGTAAACAAGTTGCACAAATGCTGTGCTCGAAAGAATTCATCATCTTAAAATATTATTAGTAGATCTTTTCCACCATTTTTGAACCACCCATTTCAAATTTATAATTATTCATGACTTTCAGATATGGCTCCTGTTTCTTGTGCCACCTGTGTAGAGAGGTTTCAAATGTTTTTAGGCCTAAATCTCACATGTTCGAATACTTCTGCAGCCTCAGGCAATGACATCACACATTTCAATGCACTTTTTTTTTTTATTCTCTAGTTTTTGATCGACATTATGACAGATGCATGGTGTTTTCAGAAGGGTACTTATATTTATTCATCCATTCTCCATCATATTCTGAATTTAACGACATTTAGCTCTTAATACTGAGGGGATTTTTTTGCTGCGCACCACCAAGATTCAAAACTCAATTATACCATGAAATGTACCCAACCTTAAAAAGGATTTGTATGACATAACAACTGCAAAGTAATACAATTATAAAACAAAACAAAAAAAAAATGTTACAATAATTCCTCTTTTGAGCATTTCTCACGTTTAAACGACTTGAAATAATGCAGCCACAAAATTTTAATTTTAAACATGTTTATTTGGTCAATAATAATTCAAAAAGTGAACCAAAAAAGTTAAAAACACCCCACGCACACAAACTTAGAAAAGACAACAATAAACTTTTAAGTTCTAATTAAAGCAGCATTAAATAATAATTAGAATCTAAAATGTCACTTAAAGTCACTTAAAAGCTATAAACCAATAAGGCAAAAAATGATTAAAATAAACGTATTAAGGCATGATTGTGCAGCTAACATTTGGATTTGTCTGCCCCCACCCATCACTGGTGACAGTGTGGTTTTTGCTTAATTTATGTGCAAATGCGTTGAAAAGCTGGAGGTGAGATCAGGCCACCCGAGCAGTCTGAAATCAGACAAACAGGAAGAACATTCAGGGTAGAAGGTCAAAATGTGACTAGTTTTTTTTTTTTTTTTTGGCTGATTTAAAGACTTAGTTAAGCTTCAGGTGTTTATTTTAGGGATGCACAATATTATCGGCGTGGTATCGGTATCAGCCGATATTAGCGATAAAATTAAATATCGTACGTCGGCCATTCCATCAAAATAACTCACCGATATAAAAGGCGCTGTTACACATACATACATACATACATACAAGGGCTGGACGATATGGCCAAAACTTTTATCACGATATATTCCTTAATTTTGGATAACGATATAATTCGATATCGGTATAAACAATAGAAAGCCTGAGAAAAACTGAACTGTTCAAATAAATTAACGTTCAAGTTTTATTTATGTTTAGCCTTTAAAAAAAATTGAAAATCACCATCAAATAAACATAAAACTTTCAACTTTGTCAATATTAATAGTTTTATCTTTAAGCAACATTACCTAACCCATGCAGCAAACGTCTGCGGCACATTTTGCAGCACACTGAAACCTGTAGTTTATCGGATCTTAGATAGCCGAACCACTTCCACACCGTCGACTTAGTCTTTCCTCTCTCGTCAGTTATGTCATCTGCTTTCTCTTCGCTTGAATCCTAGAATTGCGCCGCTCAAGGTGGCTGCATGTTGGAGTAGCTCTCTTACATTCATTGAGATTTTGCTTTTGAAAACTTGAATTATTCTTTTTTTCCTGGATGTAAATTACTTCTTTTGGGATGAATATTTCCTCTGGTTTCGGACGCTGTGCAGCTGGAAGGATTTTTACGGAAACTTTTTACTTTTGGACTTTTGTTATGATGCGTAACCATGACAACAAGGGGGCTTTCTACAACTGGGAGTTGCTAATCAACATCTCAAAAGCTTAAATAATACCTCAATTACAGCCCCATAATCCCAAATGAGTTGAAAAGGAGGTGCCGTGGATGCATTCCCCATCTACCAGGAGGCGGTGCTCATGTGCCTGACCACCGAGACCTTGGAGGTGGCGAGAAACATGGTTCGTGACAGCGGGAGGACCGAGGAGTTCTGCCAGGTATTCAGGTGGTCCTGCTGCCCAAGAGGACCGAGAGGTCTGTTGGGTCTGGGTGGAGGGATTGGCATCGGCAACCAGTTTCTTCGGATCCGCTGTGAGACAGACTGCTACAAGAAATCCTTCCTGCCCACAGCCATCAGCATCTAGAACAACTCTAATGAAATCTGGATGAGCCACAACAACAATTAATTTCCCTTTGGGATTAATAAAATAGTTTTGAATTGAATTGTGTTGTTCAGTCACATTCTGACGGTCATGGGAACTCATTTTGAAGCAAAAACTTACAGCGTGTTGAAGCTTAGCCTAGCCCGCTAACGCTAACTCCTTCTGGACTCTAGCTCTGTATGTGGTGTTCGTCACCACGCACTTACGTAGTTGTGTCGCGGCTTTTTCTGTTCGGGTTGAACTGGCGGCCGTTTCAACCCGAACAGAAAAAGAAATGTCAGTGAAACGCTGTAATCATAACGTAATGTACATCAAAATATCGAAAATGTGCTTAAAACTCATACCACCGTTATTGAATAAAAGTATATCGCGATATACAGTGGGGAGAACAAGTATTTGATACACTGTTGATTTTTCAGGTGTTCCCACTTGCAAAGCTTGTAGATGACTGTAATTTTTATCATAGGTACTCTTCAACTGTGAGTGATGGAATCTAAAACAAAAATCCAGAAAAATACAATGTATGATTTTTAAATAATTAATTTCCATTTTATTGTGTGAAACAAGTATTTGATCATCTATCAACCAGTAAGAATTTTGGCTCTCACAGACATGTTAGTTCTTCTTTAAGAAGCCCTCCTGTTCTCCACCCATTACCTGTATTAACTGCACCTGTTTGGACTCGTGACCTGTATAAAAGACACCTGTCCACACACTCAATCAATCAGACTCCAGCATCTCCACAATGCCCAAGACCAGAGAGCTGTGTAAGGACATCAGGGATAAAATTGTAGACCTGCACAAGGCTGGGATGGGCTACAGGACAATAGGCAAGCAGCTTGGTGAGAAGGCAACAACAGTTGGTGCAATTATTAGAAAATGGAAGAAATACAAAATAACGGAAAATCTCCCTCGGTCTGGGGCGCCATGCAAGATCTCACCTCGTGGAGCATCATTGATCTTGAGGAAGGTGAGGAATGAGCCCAGAACTACACGGCAGGACCTGGTCAATGACCTGAATAGAGCTGGGACCACAGTCTCAAAGAAAACAATCAGTAACACTCTACGCCGTCAAGGATTAAAATCCTGCAGTGCACGCAAGGTGCCCTTCCTCAAGCCAACGCATGTCAAAGCCCGTCTGAAGTTTGCAAATGACCATCTGAATGATCCAGAGGAGGAATGGGAGAAGGTCATGTGGTCTGATGAGACAAAAATAGAACTTTTTGGTTTAAACTCCACTCGTCATGTTTGGAGGAAGAAGAATGATGAGTACAACCCCAAGAACACCATCCCAAACGTGAAGCATGGCGGTGGAAACATCATTCTTTGGGGATGCTTTTCTGCAAAGGGGACAGGACGACTGCACCATATTGTGGGATGGATGGATGGGGCCATGTATCGTGAGATTTTGGCCAACAACCTCCTTCCCTCAGTAAGAGCACTGAAGATGGGTCGTGGCTGGGTCTTCCAGCATGATAACGACCCAAAACACACAGCCAGGGCAACTAAAGAGTGGCCCCGTAGGAAACATCTTAAGGTCCTGGAGTGGCCTAGCCAGTCTCCAGACCTGAATCCCATAGAAAATCTTTGGAGGGAGCTTAAAGTCCGTGTGGCCCAGCGACAGCCCCGAAACCTGAAGGCTCTGGAGGAGATCTGTATGGAGGAGTGGGCCAAAATCCCTGCTGCAGTGTGTGCAAACCTGGTCAAGAACTACAGGAAACGTCTGATCTCTGTAATTGCAAACAAAGGTTTCTGTACCAAATATTAAGTTTCATTTTTCTGGTGTATCAAATAATTATTTCACACAATGAAATGGAAATTAATTTTTTAAAAATCATACATTGTATTTTTCTGGATTTTTGTTTTAGATTCCATCACTCATAGTTGAAGATGATAAAAATTACAGTCATCTACAAGCTTTGCAAGTGGGAAAACCTGAAAAATCAACAGTCTATCAAATACTTGTTCTCCCCACTGTATATCGATATCAAATTAATGTCCAGCCATAATATATGGCTCTGTTTTTGTATGAATTTTCGATCATTGTGTTAGAAAGTAAATATTGTGAATAAATTTGACATTAAACATAATCCAAGTTGAAGTGTTGCATCATTTTCAGTCCCCTTTTTGACATCTGCATTTGGTAGCAGACCAAACTGACACAGACCATGCAGAATAATGTAGTATTTTAATTCCACAGCAGAGAAAGCTATGTAGTCTCTGTAAGTAGGTTTAGGGGGGAAAATATCGATATTGGTATTGGATATCGTCCAAATAAGTTTTAACATATTGGCATATCGGATATCAGCCAAAAATCCAATATCGTGCATCTCTAGTTTATTCTGTTTAAAACGGAGCTAAAAATGTTTCAAATTGATGTCAGAGCAGATGTTTTGCCAATCGAGGCCGTCTGCTGCGTTAGAAACACGTTGCAGATGCATTAAAATCAACACGTAAAATACGTCGACATCAATCCAACCAAAGAAAAGTGCTAAAACTAAAGCAACACGATCTAACTGATGTTAGCATAAGAGAAAAGCTAACGGATCAGAGTTAATGACATCTTGTTGCTTAGTAAAATAAGTTGACAAGTATTTCGCTTTCAGCAGCTGGTGCACATCTGTAAAGTAAGTTGGAAAAGGAAGAACGCAGATCAGCTTCGCTCTTGTTTTTCTGTTAGAACGTGTCAGAAAAAGTGCCTATGAACTTCTTTTTTTTTTAACTCATCGGTTACATTCTTTCCATGTGGCAAAAACTAAAAAAAAAATGTTTCAAAAGAAGAAAAAAAAAATAGTAAAAGAAATAAAAACGTCACACGCTGGAAGTCCTCAGGATCTCTTGAGTGTCCGCCAGATTCAGTTTCTGACTGGAGAGGGGGGGGGGGGTCAAGGGTTAATAACAGGCAGATATTTTAGATTTTAAGGCACCTACAGAGGAAAGAAAACTCAAATCTGTTAAACTTTTAAGTCCTTTACAAAGAAGGATGAACGCAAGTGGTGTGATTTATGAGATACCAAAAGGATACATAGAAGAACTCAGCTCCTCAAGCTGTAGAGAAGACACAACAAATTAGTGCTAAATAAACAA